TCGGACACGTGGCCAACATGATAAGTCTTCAAGTCAGCTCTTCCTGTACACTCAGCACGCCGTTAGTAGCCCGTGGCCTTTCCCAGAGGGGATGTGAGCGGTCGCAAGCACTCCAACAGTCAAGTCAGTTTCATATTCCATAAGGAGGTTCACCGACGGTAGGTCACTCGCCGGGAAATGGTTTAAGTGTGAAAATGCCAACAATATGTGGGAGAAGATAATACTTGATTTCGCAATATGTGGGGGAGAATATATGAGATTCCATTCCTTCTTTTGGCGCAAGGAATGGATACTTATACTAAGGATGGAAAAAGGAGAGCCGTTGGATGAGAAGACACGTGGCTTTAGATCCAGGAGGGTTGTCCTCTCCTAGGCGTCAATATGTCCATCCATAAGCAGTTGAATTGACCGTTTGGGGACCTGCCACACGTCCCATCAGTCAAGGATTTGACCTTGGAAAGATCTTGGTATAAGAGATCTTTAACGACGAGGCGAGGCAGGTGAGGCGTTGCAGCAATTGTAGAAATGGACTGCGGGCCTTTGCATCCACTGCGTACTCGTGGATGAGTCTGGTTCATTTGTTGACGCGTGTTCAGTTCGTTCTAAGGGGGTAACCACTTCGGCGGGTGTGATCAGGTCGTCCCATGCGTAATCACCTCGGCCGACACGTGGGATGGCTACATACATTGACACGTGGCGATCGCGATGGGGGTCTGACATAGACCCGTAACAAATACAATTGTCTTCCACCAACATCCGAAACACCAATTATCGATCGAATAACTAGTAGTTAGTGTGATCTCTCAAAAAGTAGAACTGAGACCTTAGGGAACAATCTGGTGTTGCCAATATGAGATCCCTCGTCACATGAGTTTGGGCCCCCTTGACTCAATTACAGAAGACTACCTATAAATGGATTTAAACAAATCAGCTCGAAACGTTGGGTTAGTACCCAATATATGGAGGTTGGAGTCAAACTACGAGAGATGTCATAAGGAAGCGTCATTATGAACCCTTGAAGGTAGCACTACCCACACCAACAAGTCAAGAGGGTGTTAAAAGACAGGTTTAGGCACATGCTTATGGCTTAAGCATCATCATGACCCCACCCAGCCGTCCTTACCAATGAATCTAATTCCATCAAATTTTTAGTTGCACTCCTAGTTCAGGAGGCTGCAACTTGACATGACTAGGGAAGCTTGTTTCATTTAGTGGTGGCAAACGAGCAGAGCCGGCTCGGCTCGTTGCCC